TTTGGTGTGTGTGGAACACTGCTACACATTTTATATGAATCAGTGGTGGCGGCGGCCATCTTCTACGCTGTTGTGTGCTGGGGCAGCAGCATCATGACAAAAGATGCAAATAGCCTCAATAAACTTATCAAGAAGGCTGGCACTGTGTTGGGGATGAGCCTTGACCCCCTGGAGGTGGTGGCTGAGAGCAGAATGCTGACCAAGCTCACAGCCATCATGAACAACACTTCTCATCCACTACATGGGACTGTTACTGGGCAGCGTAGCACTTTTAGCAACAGACTGCTCCAGCTACAGTGTTCAAGGGAACGTTTCCGCAGGTCTTTCCTCCCGGCGGCTGTCAGGGTGCATAACACTGCCCTAGGCTAGGACTGTTAGCCCTTCATTTGCTCCTCTATGGACAGCATGTTTGCTCCATTGTACTTTTTGGACAATCAGTCTGTATAAACCTATGCACATTTTGCACATATTTTATTGTTTTTACAGTGACTATGATCATCACATTTTGCACACACCTATGTATTTATTTTATTTTATTTATTTATTTTGTTGTCTTTTGTTTTATAACTATTCTGATGTCTGTTTTGCTTGTCTTGGGCTGGACTGCTGTAACACATCAATTTCCCTACTGGATTAATAAAGTATTATCTATCTATAATGATAATAATGTTAGGCGTATGGCTTGATTTAGGGTTAGGGTTAAGGCAACACAGTAAAATATAATTAATGCATGATACTATTTATTCAATGCTTCTTAAAGATACTCAAATTGCCTTGCAATAGTCCACATCTTATATACATTATTATTATATAAAAAAATGAAAATAAATAAAGCACAGTAAATTTACCAAGCCATGAATAAAATTGAACTTAACATTAAAACTATAGGGAAAAGATGTTAAAATGTTCTTATTTGTTGGCATTTGTAGTCTTTGTAGTCTATTATCTAATATCTTAAATATTCCATGGAAAAAAATATAGTAGTTAATTATTGATTAAAACAAAGATGTGCTGATATTTCAGAATCTGACAGACAGAGGAGCCAGCAGTCATATCACCCTGCAGCTCTCAACTGGCTACCCACTGAAGCTAAGTAGAGTTGAGCCTGGTCAGTACCTGGATGGGGGAGACCTCCTGGGAAGCTACACTGTTAGCAGGACCAGCAGGGGCCACCCACCCTGTGGTCTGTGTGGGTCCTAATGCCCCAGTATAGTGGTGGGGACACTATACTGTAGTGGGTGCCGTCTTTTGGATAAGACGTTAAACTGACTGACAGAGTGGTCATTAAAGATTCCTGGGCATTTCTTGATAAGAGTAGGGAGTTATCCCGGTTTCTAGGTCAACATTGGCCTCCAAACTGTCCCCATGTATGATTGGCTTGCACCTGCCCTGTGATGGACTGGTGCCCCATCCAGGGTGTACCCTGTGTTGCGCTTGTTGCTTGTCAGGTAGAATCTGGCTTCCTGTGACACTCTATTGTATAAAGCAGTTTGGCAAATGACATGACAAACAGAGGAAAGGGTCTTAAGAAAGCAAAGTGGAAAAAAAGCTTTAAATGTCAAAACAGTCACGGGAAATGCCAGCATTTGTAACTTCTATTAAGATTTTGAATTCAGCAATTGAAGCTACAGTAGGTTTAGGAACAGGTTTCCAGGAGTTGCAGACACATGTATAGTACTGTTATCTCCTGTTAGAACAGGAGTCAGTTAAAAGAACTTGGAATTGTACCACTGCTTATAAGAACAGGGTAGAATTTAATTATGTTGGATACTTAATTACAGTTACAGTAATTGAAAAATGTATTATTTGTACTTGTATTATAATGTAAAATTAGTGAATAATATTGTTGCAAATTAACAGTATTGTAGCATTACTTAAAATAATTAAAGAATTTGTAATGTATTATTTTATTTTATAGCTGCTGTAGGAATGCAAGAAGTCACACATTCCTGAGAGTCCTTAGTGCCTAAATAGGATCTGTCACTGCCACAAAGACACAACACCACACCACACTGCAGGTGACCTACTTTTTGACTAGTAGAAAACCAGATGTAAAAAAAACCCAACAAATTAATTTAATTTTCATTTAATTTCTGTAAATGTTTATTTACTGCTGTAACTACATACATTTTTCAAGGAAAATACATTTCACCAAAGGTCTCAGTAAGTGCAAATAACACAAATGCACTTCTGAACTTGAGGAAAGAAGATTGCAACACTGGAACACTGAAAGTGTATGTTGTAATGGATAAAATATGTAACAGTCTCAGCTGATTTCAGGATTGAAAATATGTACTGAATTGTATTCCATCCCTACATTTCTCGGTAAGAGTAGGTAGTTATCCTCGGTCTGGGCCAAATTTCCCCCCTCAGCCTTTATCATGGCCTCCAAATTTACCCCATGTATGATTGGCTTGCCCTGTGATGGATTGGCGCCCCGTCCAGGGTGTATCCTGCCTTGCACTCATTGCTTGCCGGGTAGGCTCCAGGTTCACCGTGACCCTCACCAGGAAAAGCAGTAGTGAAAATGGATGTAAATCCGTGGCAGGGCACACAGGCACACAGGCACACACACACTCACATCAAGGCCAGTTTTCTCAGGAATCAATTAGCCTATTAGTATGTCTTTGGACATTGGGAGTAAACTGAATCACCTGGAGGAAACCCTTGTAAACATAGCAAGAACATGCAAACTCCATGCAGATAACACCCGAAGTCCAGAATTAAACCCAGTGCCCCTGTGCTACAAGGAGGCACTTCTAATCACTGTGCCAGCTTGCTCCCCCTGAACTGTATTGTAGAACATATTAACTGGATCCAACACCGTTTTTATTTATGATCATCAGTTGACATTTGTATTCAGATTTGTTGACTTAGAGAGGAAAACAATTCATTGAATGTCAGACACTAGAAAAACATTAATGTGCAAATCTTGCTGATTGTATATGTGTAATGCTGAATAACTTCAGATTGGGATCCTAGTTGTGTGTACTTTCATATAATAATGTCAACAATATGTAAGGATGATATAGCGGTATGTAGACACATCTAAATTGACATAGTTCACATACAGTAGGTAGCTGCATCAGCATGCATAGGCTACAAAGGAACAAGTTAAAGGTTTATTCCATGCTGAATAAACACCTGAAAAAGGCTCCACAGACTAAACGTTGTTTCCTTTCTTCTCTGGAATATACCTTTACCTTGTTCCTCTAATTTGACACGCCCTCTTATTTACTACATTCACCTAAAAAATTATTGTCACAGAGGCTCTATAAAATAAATAACAAAGGTAATGAACTGTATTGAATTTTTTCAATGTGGATTTTATTTTACTTAATGATTGAATGAATCAAGATTACACATTCCTCAAATTATAAAATTATTTCCACCAAATAACGTGCCACAATAATTGGCAGTGGACAGTAATGCCACCTGGCAATGACTGAAGGCTTAAGGTAACAAAAGGAAAACATTTTGAAAGGGAATGCCATTTTCAATAGGCACTGTAAATGCACATATCTGTATTTTTTTTAGTTCTACTGTTATGTCTGGTTATGGGATTTAGATTTTAAAGATGGCTTTTCTTTCAACATTTAGGCTTTCATTGTATGCTACATTGATTTTAAGTATACAGTATTTGGCAGAATTGAAAGCTCACCTGATTTATCTTGTTAAATAACGTACAGTATTAATATTACAATAATGGCACTTCCTATTGTAACCAGAAGATGGAGATGTTCTCCTGATCAAAGTTATTCAAAACCCTTTCGTCATATATAAACTGCTCGTCAGTTTCCTATTGCAGTATTATTGAAGTTTGTTAAGAACTAAGTATATTTGCAATTATTCGTATTTATTTAGAGAGTTAATTAGAAATACATAAGAAGACGATTGGGACTTAGACATGAAATTATGCTTGACCTTCCAGAGATAAATACAGACAAATATATTTCTAGAAAAATAATAATACCACCTTGATTTTTTACATTTATACTCAATAAGAACAGATTAAACAAAAACATTTTGAATAAAATAGTAAATTCAGGCTAATACTTCCAATGGACTAGTAACATTCACAACATTTTAATACAATGTAATATAGAAATATATTTTTCTGACAAAGCCATACATATGATGTTAGAACACAGTAAAAGCTCTTTAAGATATCTTTTAATCCCAGAAAATATAAGAAGGATAGTCAGTGTGAACAATAAGTACTGATCACTGAGTCAAACGTGATTTCCTTGATTTCAGTTTCTCCAACCAATTATTAATGCTCAAATTGGCACTGAAAATATAAATTCATTATAAGCTTTATGTCAAGTTACTATGGGCATTTTGTTTTCTAGCACTAGCCATACAAAGATCAAAAGAACCCCTGGTGATAAACTTGTCATCAGAACAATTTTGCTACCTCTAAAAAGGGATAGGCTCCCAACCCCCTCCTTAGCACAGCTCTAAAAAAGTCACATTACTACAGGCCAGCCTTTTTATAGAACTTACTGACTGCACTCTAACTCTGTCTAGCCACAGCTAGGAACAGACATACTGTAGATCTGGAGAAGAATGGCAGACGTTACCATCACACACTGGGTAAGAAGCCCTGTCCGTTATCAAGCCCAGCTCGAGGGAAGAGACTTGGAGGAATGCAAAGAGGAGCACTGGCTCTTCGCGCTGCCTGGGCCTTCTTTTGAGGGGGCGACAACTGAAAAAGGAGCCACTGTGGAGAGTCTTTGCACCACACAAACAAGAGAGTCTGGTTTCCAGGTGCTGTTAGACGTGGCTCAATTCCGCCCTGAGGATATTCTCATTCAGGTTTACGAGGGCTGGCTCCTGGTCAAAGGCCAGCATGGCCCCAGGATGGACGAGCATGGATTCATCTCCAGGAGCTTCACCCGGCAGTACAGGCTGCCAGACAGACTCCAAGTGGGAGACCTGAGAGCTATGCTGTGTCATGATGGAATTCTGGTGGTGGAAGAAAAAGGCCGTGGCCTCTGAACTAATTAAAGAGCGTCATTAATTGTTTCAAGCACAAGGCTTCCTTTGAAGATTTGGCAACACCTCATAAATGTATTGAGGTCCAGGCTATAAACAGGAAAGCAGGAAACATTGTTTGTTTTTTTGAGTGTTTGCCTTTTTAGGGCCTTCAGTGATTTTTGGAGAAACATTTTTTTAAAAGAAACAACACAGTAAAATGTATTTCTAATAATATTGTGATATTTAAAAGAGATTAGTTGAGATGTTACTGTACTCTGCCCTCTATGTATTCTGTAATACTGTAAAACTATTTAGGTAAACTTAGAAGAAGGCATGTTAATTCACGACATAAAGTAAATGAAAATACAACAGAAGTAAACACTATCAAGTTATAATATTTGTATCATTTTGCTGAAATGTATGCTTTTGGATTATTTTATTCATTTTATTACATCTTCTGTGACTTTATGTTATATTAACAGTAAAGAGGCACAGAAATATTTAACAATTATAGTATTCATGGTATTTAAAAATAGAATATATAGTATTTAACTTTGTGAAACAGTTGCTAAACACTAAAATAAGAACAAGTTCAAAAGTTCTCACATTAGAGTTATTGTCTACCAATTCTATAATTGGTTGTTTTTGAACAGCAGATTTAGCATATCTGTTGATACGTTTTCAGCTAAAATCCACCAAAACAAAAACTGCAGTTCTAATCAGCAAAGTTGACAAATGACAAGCGATAGAAACAGAACAGATAAAGCATTTCAGCCTATATTGTCTGGAGACCTGTTAGAGAGTGACTTCACCTCTAAGAATAACATTGGAATGCCAAGTGCTCCACAGTGCCAAGCTAAATGCCCCAGTAAGATGTTGGAGCCATAAGGCGATGGAGAGGTTTTTTACACTGTTTTTAAAATTTACATGACAGCTTTTTTAATGCTATTTAATGGTTTAATGCCCTTATTTACATTGTTGCATGTGCTTATTCATTATAATAATAGCATGAAATCAGTAATTGAAACTGAGTTTTTTAAAAAATGGATCTCAGCAGAGGAAATTATTTGGAACTTCTTTAGTGTTTTATTTATTCATATGGAGTATCTTTAGTATGAATATTTTTAAAATATGTCCAAGCTATAACAGGAAAGCAGGAAAATCCCAAGTCAAAAACACTGTGGGAAAAGCTAATTTATGGCTTTTCAGTTTACTGCCAGCAATGCTGCTCAAAGAAACATATCAAAAAGTGCAATATGTACTATACAGTAATCTTATTTTTAAAAATCTTCAAGGGAAAGAGTACACTGAGAATTTTCTTTTAAAAATATGCCAGACGCTCATTCTGACAAATTGCAATCACTTCAAAGTCTTTGAAAGCAAGCCCAAACATCTGTGAAGTTATCATTTTGTCATTTGTTGTGGGAATTTTCATTGGAGCATTGGAGCATAATCTGAAAGACCTTTGCAAGGAGTCGTATAGTACTACGGTAAAATGGAAAAATGAGTATGAATTCAGTGCAATATAGAAGTCATTTTGAATTAGAAAAACACAAAAGTTTTAACCGGACCAAAAAGCTTTGAAAATTTATCTATAAGTGTACATACACTGTAATATTTTGTTGAACACAATAAGGAGAAATACTTTACTTGTTTGAAACTGAATTTTTAAAACATTAAGAAGTCTGACATTAGCAGAAACTAATACAAGTGCTACTACACATCAAATATAACAGTAAATACTGTTTCCAACACATTTTTCACATTTTATTTTATTGCTGTGAGTGCGTCTATAAATACAGTATATACTAAACTCCAACATAAATCAATGTAATTTACACATACATGTGTACACATTTTTATGATTTACTAGTTTATATTCCAAATAATGTTTTTTCCAACAACTATATCTTTGCGCAACCGTTATACAGATGAACGGATATTTAAATAAAAACGTGCTGGTATGATAAACGTATATTCTTTACACAAATCATAAATCACTTTCTTGATAATGATTGATACACTATTAAATACATTTTTATTTAATCTTATTCCTTGACCCATTTGCCGTAAACAGATTTAATTTTTGCAAATTAGATTTTTAGCTTGTTACTGCTTCCTGAAGTAAGCGTGTGAGTCAGCTTTATCTGTCTGGAGCGGTATCTCTCATACAGTACATTTGCATCTTATTCACAGTACACATTTATCTAGTTGGGGGGGTATGCAACTTAGAAACATATTTATATTAAAAGTTTTTAGTGATCAGGACTTCAGCCTGAATTTTTTCTAAACAATTGAGGGTTAAAGCTAATATCACCAAACCGCAGTCGATTCGTGTTGCCTGACTGCCCGCAACCTCCGTCAGGCTCCTCCCTCGATTATTCAGACTGATTACGTGTGGCGCTGTTGCAATATAGAAGGAGAAAGAGTCTGCTGCAGCTGGAGAGGTAGGAGTTGAGCTGCAACTTTCATTTAAAAACAGACGAACTGCTGGATTGCGCTTTCTTAAAAAAAACAGCACCAGATGCGGTGAAAAAAAAAACAGTTTTCGATCCGAATACAAGATCGTCGATCATTGTACAACTAAGGAAGAGAAAAATAAAATCATTGCTTTACAAAGTCTGGACAGTTGTGCGGAGTTTGGTTCGGCTGGCTAGTCTCCGGGAGTCATTTCATTTGTGTTGTTGCTTTGGATAGTTGGAAACTAATGGCGTTGAGGGCGAGGGCTTTGTATGACTTCAATTCCGAAAACCCTGGGGAAATTACGGTCAAGGAAAACGAAATTGTAACCCTGTACAGCGAGAACGATATAGAGGGCTGGCTGGAGGGAGTGAACAGCAGAGGGGAGAGGGGGCTCTTCCCAGCCTCATACGTGGAGATCCTTAAAAACGACACAGCCCCTTCTTACAACAACATCACAGCTGGAGATGGCTACATAGGCTCAAGGTATTCCAACGTCCCAACCGTGGATTATGATCCTACCTTCAAAAGCCAGGCACAGCACGAGAACTTCACGCAAGCCCCTGCGGCAGGCTTTTCTTCTTTCCCTGTGACATCTCAACAGGAGCATAGCTTCCAGGCAAGCCAAGGCAGCGACGATGATTGGGATGACGACTGGGATGACAGCTCCACGGTGGCTGACGAGCCGGGAGTTGTGGGAGGAAGTTACCACGACTACGACGGCACCGGTCCTTCCACATACCGGTTGACCACCAGGTCTGATGCTTCTTCCATTTCCCGGGGTGGCAACGCGCAACATCCCAAGAGCTCAGCCACCGTCAGCAGGAATCTCAACAGGTTCTCCACTTTCGTGAAATCTGGGGGGGAGGCTTTCGTGCTAGGAGAGGCATCCGGATTTGTGAAAGATGGAGATAAGATCTGCGTGGTTATGGGCCAGTACGGACCCGAGTGGCAAGAGAACCCTTACCCGTTCACGTGCACCATCGATGACCCCACTAAGCAAACCAAATTCAAAGGCATGAAAAGTTACATTTCGTATAAGCTGACACCCACTCATACGCAGAACCCAGTGAGCAGAAGGTATAAGCATTTTGATTGGCTTTACACCAGGTTAGTGGAGAAATTCCCGGTCATTTCGGTTCCCCACATTCCAGAGAAACAAGCCACGGGGAGGTTTGAGGAGGACTTCATCTCCAAGCGAAGGAAAGGCCTGATTTGGTGGATGAACCACATGACCAGCCATCCTGTCTTGGCCAGGTGTGATGTCTTCCAGCATTTCTTGGCATGTACGGATGAGAAAGCCTGGAAGCAGGGGAAAAGAAAGGCGGAGAAAGATGATATGGTGGGGGCCAACTTTTTTCTTACCATCAGCACTCCGGCGTCATCCCTTGACCTGCAGGACGTGGAGAGTAAAATTGACGGCTTTAAGTCCTTCACTAAAAAGATGGACGACAGTGTGCTGCAGGTTAATGCCACGGCCAACGAATTCGCCAGGAAGCAAATAACAGGCTTTAAGAAAGAGTACCAGAAGGTTGGGCAGTCTTTTAAAACCCTTAGCCAAGCATTCGAACTCGACCAGCAGACGTACTCTGCAGGTTTAAACCATGCAATTGCTTACACCGGTGAAGCTTATGATGCCATAGGAGAATATTTTGCAGAACAACCCAAGCAGGACCTTGATCCCGTGATGGATTTGTTAGCTCTTTATCAGGGACATCTTGCGAACTATCCAGACATCATCCATGTTCAAAAAGGTAACGTTATGGGTACTTTTATTCTAATGATAAAATAGCATATAATAAACTGTAGACGCATTACAACACCCGTGTAAAACCAAAAGGTGGCTTTCCCCGCATTCCTCAAAAGTTAATAAATTTTGTGATATTAGAATGCCATTGTATTCACTAAAAACATCACAGTTGTTAATACAGGTACAGTATATACTGCTTGCAGGCAGATTGCATTGCATTAAGTTCAGAGAAAGTCAATAATTGGGATTAGTATTAAAGAGCTTTGTTTTGCAAGTATTTCTTTTGGAGTTCTCTTGTATTAATTGTAATTTAACAGCAGTTTTTACAAAACATTTTACAGGTGTTTCCTACTGGATGTACTTCCTACTAAAGCTGCAGGATTAATGTTTCCTGAATGATAAAACTGATAGTTTTGTCACAATTACAGCTTTATATTTTTATATTATAGACAAATTTGAGTTTTATTTTCATGATGTTATAATTACAGTATTTTTGTATTATTTATACATAAAAATAAATAGGATTATGAAATATACAGCACTTATTTACAGTTCAAGTAACATTAAATAAGCAAGTTGGTCTAGATTCTTGCAAATAATTAGCATAAAAGCATGGAAACGGATGCTGATAACCTGTGGTTTACAACTGTAGTGCAGGAGCATGGTGTATGCCTATTCATGTACAAAATAGTATTCACGAATCACAGAATTGCACATCAGAAAACAGGCAAAGATATTTCAACCCAATAGGATCTTTCTCAGGTAATACTGCTTCTGTTGTATCCACCAATTACAGAAAATGTGCATTTTTTTATATGTGCATGCTGTGACTTGCTTATTTTTCCCCTTTCATTGATTGCAGCAATTTTGTATTTGTATCACTTATCAGAACATTGGGCTGGTAATTGTAGCCAGTGTATATCATGGCATAGAGTCTGCCAGCACGTGGAATTCTGCTGCAAGGAAGAGGTACCATTCTTCTAAGATAAAGTTAGACAATCAAGGTTTGTAGATAGAGGTGGGAAAGGCTCAGGTGTCAAATAAGAGTATCCCATAATTGTGTTCAGATTTGATGACTGAAAAGTCCATGGCATATGAATAATGATCAATATCATGCTCATCAGACCACTGGGGCAACCATACATACTCTGAATGGAGGCATTGCCATCCTGAAAGACACTCCTCCTGACAGGAAAGAAATACTGCAGCCCGGGAGTGAAGATGATCACTTCAAGTACCATTAAGTGGCGATTAGTATTGACCTTGCCTTGTAAGCGAATGAATGCACCCAAGTTGTGCCAGGAAAATTGCCCGGAAATATTATGAACTCGGATATCCTTGGTTGTGAAACATCCCTTGAGCTGTCTTGGTCACTGAAGCTCCTGCCAGTTTCTTTTTTCTTAGTTCTTTTTCTCCTGCCAGTACCCTTTTATGACTAAGTGGCAGTTAGTCTAATTGTCCAAAATGTATGACATAGTAATTTGTTGGCTCTAAGTCTTAGTTTAAAAAAAAAAGTCTGTCTAATGTATATAACACTGAAAGAAATATGCAAATTTGCAACAATAAATGTATTCCACATGGCATGGGCGACAAGGTATAAACAACATGAAACGAATATAAGGATGTCTGCTAATCCATTTAAAACAAGCTGATGATCTTCTTTGTCCCAGGTTTATCTAGTGTTCAGGTTGCCTGTGTGTTTGTATAACCCTTTAGCAAATGTGAATACGTCAGCACTCTCCAGCATTAGTACAGCAAATTTTTGCATGACAAACTGAAATGTTTGCATTACAGAGTTGGCTTGCAGTAACACCACAGCAGCAAATGACTGCTGAGTCACATGGGCTGCATATTGTCTTTTGCTGACGTCATGTGTGATTTTCCAGGGCTGGTAACCTTTTAAATTGTCAGACTAGTGGTAACAGAATATGACAGTTTGTTTCCAGTAAATAAAGGTTTTTTACTGACCCAGGCCAGCTCTCTTGTGGAGACCACGCTATTGGGGGGGGCGGGGGAGGGGTTTGGCTGTGGTAAATTGTAACCTGATGGAGGATTTTGCATTCAGTGCTGTTCAGTTACTTCACAATTGCTGAGAAAGAGCTTCTCTTTGGTGGGGAATGTTTCGACTTGGCAGTCTGTCTTCTTATTTACATAAGGGCCTAAACTTCTTCTTAAATCTAAGATTGAACAAGAAGAAAGCTAACAATCTGCACTGCATTAGCAAGGACAGTTTATATTTAGATTTTTTTTCTTACTGTATATATGTCATAATGAAAATAATTACTGTTAAACTGTAGTTTATTTTTTTGTCAGGGTCTTTGATGTAGATCACTGATTATTTCAGAAGTGTGCCTCCATTGTATTCAGAATGCTTAAGAGTGCTTGTTCAAGATTAAATTGAATTACCTAGTCTGAATTCCTTATTTTTATTTCCTTGTATATAATATCATCACTTTCTAAAGTTCTATTTTTGTAGCAAGTGGGTAAATGTGTATTGTTCAGAATACTTCATTTCAGATTTTTGTAATCTGTAGAAAAAAAATAATTTTGAATATATAAACTTGTTCTAACTAAAGTAATACTATCTATGAAGTCAACTTTGTCCCCAATTTATTTCAAGGATATGATTTTTATCACCTTACAGTATAGTTATTGCTTTGCTGGAAGAACAAGTCTTGGCGTATTGTTTATACAACATTGACTGAAGCTCATTTACTTAAGAGCTTATCTCACTTTTGATAAAATAGACAGACTGCTGTTTGTTTTTGCAGCACCAAATTATGTAGAAGTGATACTGAGGTAAAATACTTATGTTTAATTTTTATTAAATATGTTTTGATGAGAGAAAATGAATACTGCAAAACTTCTTGCTTAACTTGCTGTAGTACAAATGCAAATAGAACTGTATGAAAAACTGAGTGGGATGAAAATTTCCCACATTATTAAAATACAAAATAAGGGCACATCTATTCTTTGTATTTCACCTTCATGTTTATTAGCACCCTTTATACTTGGACATTGGTCAAAGCTGTTATACAGTAATTAGAGAGAACATAGTCCTGTTGTTCTTGTGGAAAGAAAGTTCCTGAAATAAAGTTTGTGATGCACCAGCTTTCGACACTAATATCCATAATTGAGGACCGCCTTCTGTGTATCCTGGTGCTTTCTGAAAAAAATGTGCTTTACATACAGTGTTAGGGCAACTATTGAAAAACAATTTTAGTTTGACTTGGTGTGCCTCAGTCTGATGTGGAATTTGACTGTAAATTTGAAAAAAAGTAGTACAACATGTAGAAGAACATCCATCCATTTTCTAAACGCTTCATCCAGTTAAAGGTTGCTGGAGAGCCAGAGCCTATCCTGGCAAGCGCTAGGCAGTATTTTCTAAGAAGCCAATTGTCCTACCAGTATGTCTTTGGACTGTGGGAGGAAACCCATGCAAACACAGGCAGAACATAAAAACTCCACTCAGATAGCACCCCTGGAATTGAACCCAGGATCCCACCATGCCACCTTAAGGAAGAACATTTAGAATTATTTTCTTAAGGAAGAACAATGAACATGTAATATGAAATAGGTGCTTAAACATTTCTAATTTGGGATATTTTAAATTATACTGTATTAAAGGAATAAACCGCCATATTCTGTGGGTGTAAGAAATTCTAGTGAATAGTGGAAAAAGTTGTATTCTAGCTATTGGTATTAGAAGTTAATTGTACCATAGAATAATAATAAAACATTTGCAGGAGTATTGGTTTTATAAATAAATCAGAAGTTTAGCCTGTTATGGTACAGTGTTGTAGAGGATAATAGCACACTCCATCAGAGTTCTTATCTTAGTTTGGTATAGTGCATTGGATTAAGCAGGTAATTTGATTTCAAATTTGATATTTCAGCCCACGTTGGAGATTTTTGTCCCTAAAGACATAAGTTGTTTCATATAGGATTGTAGAATACAATTGGTCTGACACAATACAGTTGTTTGTGATGCCTTCATTTTATTATCATTTTGGATATGACCATAGTATGTTGTATAATAGGCATTTTCATTGTCTGCCTTTAGTCTATTATAGATCAGTTGAAAGCTTTTGTTTCCCTTTTGATTGGATTTATGTAGTGATATGACTTAGTTGCAGGGTATTTACTGTACTCACTCTTTCATTTTGAGTTGCAGTCTGTATTTTGTTTGTTGAGGGAGTGCAGAATCTCTGTTTGGTTCTGGTGGAAGTGTTTAGGATCAGTGTATTTGTGGTGGTATGTTTTAAAAATGGGTTCACAGAGTATTTAACCAAAACTTTATTTTTTAATATATATAAATATAATAACTGAAAAACAAGATATATATAAAAAATGCAGCCTAAGAAATCAGTAATTATTTTCTTAGAAATGTCACTTTGGTGCATAAGAAAACAAATTCTTTGCATGTTTTTAGTGATTTACGTCCCTAAGGTTCCCACAGTACTTCACACAAAGGAGGATCCCCACTGAACCTTCAGCCCCACTACACAGCACATTAAGAAAGAAATTGCTACACAAATTTATTTAAGGTGGAATTTTGAGTGGGGCATTTTGTGCAAGTACAATGTGGAATTTAGCTGGCACATGTAATAAGTATTACAATAAATTGTATTTGCATTACTTAGTGCTTTTCATCCCAAAGAATCCCAGATAATTTATATAGAAAGGGCAAAGTTCTTCACACTAACACTGAAGTTCTGCATTCACCTGGGTATTGTAAAGCAGTTATTAAGCCCTGGTGACCTTTTCGCCATGTGGCTATTCAGGAGAGCGGGGAGAAACTGCTTCATTTAATTAATTAAGGGGTCAATTTAGATAAACCAGATTGTACAAGCCCAAGAGTTAATATAGCCATGAAAATATGGTTAACATAATTAATCCTAGAAACTGTACCATGCTATCTTGTAGTGAGAGCCTGCATTTAGCAACATATCTGAAGGATGGAACCTCCTACAGATGATCCAACAATCAGGCTACAAGACAGTA